TGCATGTTGAATCTTCCCCAGTTCCAAATTACGCCTCAACCGCGGCGTTTTCCCGCGTCAAGCCGCGCGCTTCAAGTCCAAGCCTTCCCCGATTCAAATCTGCCCAGAACCGGCGCTTTCCAGCGCCCGCCCCATTCCCCCACACGCACACACACAAACACACACACACACACACCACCCCAGCGCTTCCAATTTTAAGTTCATCGGAATTTCACAACGCATCCCAATCCCGGCGTTTTCCAGTTGACCCATCCAAATTCCAGCATCCATCCGAACCCAAGCGCTTATTATACAAATCTTGCCCAAGTTAAAAAGCCTTCCTAGGGTCAGCGCCTCCACTTTTCAATCCTCCAAATGCCAGAATCCACCCCGACTGCCGAATCCCCCAACTTCCAAATCCCTTCCAACTTCCACTGCCCCAGCGCTGCCCGTTGAAAATCACCCAACTTCCAAATCCCCTCCAACCTCGGCGCCCCCCACTGCCAGGCAGCGCGCTTTCGCGCCCCCTCTACTTCATAACCCTTCCCAACCTCAGCGTTTTCCATCGGCAAGCCGCGCGCTTTTGAAACGTTCCCCATCTCCCGAATCTCCCCCAACGCCAGAGCTCCCCATCGACCCCCCCCCCCCCCAACCCACATCCCCCCCCAACCTTGGCGTTGCCCATTCGAAGCCCTTCCCAATTTGCCCCCCTATCCCGGCGCTGTCCGCGGGGGATTTCTCCAACCCCAAATCCTTCGCAACCTCAGCGCAGCTTTCTTTTCCCTTTCAAGATCTTTTTCAACTCCAGAAGCCGCCCTCAGCCCACCGCGCTCCAGTCTCGACCCCCCTCCAGCTCCAAAATCTCCCCAACCCCAGCGCCGCCCATTCGATGACCAGGCCATGTCCGATACCACCCCTGACCCCAGCGCCCCCTTCTCTATTCCAGAGCCTGCCCTCCCGCGGCGCGCCCCATGCAAAATCCCCCGCAGCTCCAAATCCCCCCCAAATCCGGCGCGTTGAATCTCAAGTTCTGCCCAGCTGCAAATGTCGTCGGAAAGCCCAGCGCGCCCCGTTTAAATGCCTCTCCAAACCCAAAATCCCCCCCAGCCCCGGCTCTTCCCATCCAAAACCCCCCATTTCCAAGACCTTCTTCAACCCACGCGCTTCCCATTGGAAGTTGCCCCCAATTCCAGAATTCCCCCCGAGCCCAGCGCGGACCATTTGCCGGCGCGAGAGCCTTTATTCCCATTTCAACTTTCCCAAGTCCAAGGTCCCCCCCCAGCCCCGGCGCCTGTCATTTGAAATCCTTGCAAATTCCAAATTCTCCCCGAAACTGTCCGAACCCCCGCGCTTTCTATAGCAGATCGCTTCCGTTCTCCATCGAGTCTTTCCAGGATCCAAAGTCCCCCCCAACCTCGGCGACCCCCATTGCTAAATGCCGCCCCCCCCCTCGCCCCAGCGCGTTCCGTTCAAAACCCTGCGCAATTCCCAGATCATTCCCAAAGCCAGCGCCTCCCATTCAAAATCCTGCCCAAATCTAAAGTCGCCCCACACCCCGGCGTCTCCACTGTCAAGCCCCGCGCTTTCAAGTGAACGCCTGCCCCGGCTTCAACACCCCCCCGCCCCCAGCGCTTTCCACTGCCCCCCCTTCCAAAATCCGCCCCAGCCTCGGCCCCTTTTCCGCGTTGCACCCATCGCAAGTTCAGAGCGCTTCCCAGGCCCAGCGTTTGCCATTGCAGTTTTTCCAGTTTCAAAATCCTAGCCAGTAGAAATGCTTTTTCGTTTACAGATATGTCCCCACTTCAAAATCCATTCCAACCCCTGCGCGTTCAATCGCATATCCTTCCATATTTCCGACGTGCCCCAACCGCGGCGCTTTCCACAGCCAGAACGCGCGTTTCCGTCTCCCCAACTCCAGACCTTTCGCCGATCCCAGCGCTTTCCATTGTCAAGCCGCGCGCTTCCAATTTGAAAGATTTGTCCATCTCACAAATCTGTTCCAAACCGAGCGTTTTCCAAAATCTCAACCGCCCCCAACGCTTTAAAGTCGAAGTCCCTTCCCAACCCGAGCGATTTCCCGTATGAGTCCTTCCCAATCCCAAGTTCCGTTCCAATCCGAGCGCCGCTATTTTTTTAAAACATCCGTCCCATTTCCAAATGCTTTCCCAAACCCGACGCCCATCATGCCTCATTTTTCCCAACTCCCAAATCTTTCCCAACCCCAGCGTTTTCAATTTAGAGTTCTCCAAATTCCCAAATCCTCCCCCAACCCCAGCGTTCCCCTTCTGTCCCTAATCAATGCCCAACCGCAGCGCCTTCCATGCAAAATCCTTCCCAGTTCCTAACCTCAGCGATTTGAATTAAATTGCCTTGTGACGTACCCAACCCATTTGTATCAATGGAAACGAGGAGTTGGCCGAAACTTGCATGGACAATCAAATTGATGTGCAAGCTACTTGGGACACGCGCCTATGGCATGATGCGCAGGAGAACCATACAAGAACGAGGGGCGACAGCTACAGGCTCGAAGAGGACATGGGGAGTCGGGAACGCAGAGCAGGAGAAAAACGTGCGGGAAGCCGAACCATCATCACGGCAGCAGCAGAGGTAAGGTGACTGCACGAGGACAACAAGGACGAACGCGGCGTCTGATTTCAGTCTGCGGTGGGTACCCACTGTGCTGTGCCCCTCAGCAGCCCTCGAAAGTGGCGACAGTATCACAGATCGCAGCCCCCCAGGAATGGCGAGGTCGAATTTGAATCTGCGGCGGGTGCCCACTGTGCTGTGCCCCATCAGCAGCCCTCGAAAGTGGCGACAGTTTCACAGATCGCAACCCCCCAGGGATGGCGAGGTCTAGTTTGAGTCCGCGGTGGGTACCCACTGTGCTGTACCCCATCAGCAGGCTTCGAAAGTGGCGACAGTTTCACAGATCGCAGCCCCCCAGGGATGGCGAGGTCTAATTTGAGTTTGCGGTGGGTACCCACTGTGCTGTGCCCCTCAGCTGGCTTCGAAAGCGGCGACAGTTTCACAGATCGCAGCCCCCCAGGGATGGCGAGGTCTAGTTTGAGTGTGCGGTGGGTACCCACTGTGATGTGCCCCCTTCAGCAGCCCTCGAAAGTGGCGACAGTTTCACAGATCGCAGCCCCCCCAGGGATGGCGATGTCTAGTTTGAGTCTGCGGTGGGTACCCACTGTGCTGGGCCCCCCAGCAGGCCTCGAACATGGCGACAGTTTCACAGATCGCAGCCCCCCAGGGATGGCGAGGTCTCATTTGAATCTGCGGTGAGTACCCACTGCGCTGGGCCCCCCAGCTGGCTCCGAAAGTGGCGACAGTTTCACAGATCGCAGCCCCCCAGGGATGGCGAGGTCTAATTTGAGTCCGCGGTGAGTACCCACTGCGCTGGGCCCCCCAGCTGGCCTCGAAAGTGGCGACAGTTTCACAGATCGCAGCCCCCCAAGGATGGCGAGGTCTAATTTGAGTCCGCGGTGAGTACTCACTGTGCTGGGCCCCCCAGCAGGCCTCGAAAGTGGCGACAGTTTCACAGATCGCAGCCCCCCAGGGATGGCGAGGTCTAATCTGAGTCCGCGGTTGGTACCCACTGTGCTGGGCCCCCCTGCAGCCCTCGAAAGTGGCGACAGTTTCACAGATCGGAGCCCCCCAGGGATGGCGAGGTCTAATCTGAGTCCGCGGTGGGTACCCACTGTGCTGTGCCCCTCAGCAGCCCTCGAAAGTGGCGACAGTTTCACAGATCGCATCCCCACAGGGATGGCGGGGGAAGAGAGGGACGGGAAGGAAGGAAGGAATGAAGGTTCGCGCGAGCAGTGCTCTATTCAAAACGAGAACCCAACGCAGGAGGGTTGGGAAAATTCTTCCCAATTCCGAATTTCTTCTGAAGCTTTCAATCCAAATCCCTTAGAAATTTGTAAAGCCCCTCCCACATCTGGCGCTGACCATTCGAATTCTCCTCCCATGTCCAAAGTCCTTCCCAACGCCAGCGCTTGCATGTTTTGACCCTTTCCATCTAACCCTTCCCAAATCAAAAAGCCTTCCCAACCCAGCGTTTTCTATTTGAAATCAATCGAATTTCCAGAATGTTCCCGAATCGTTCCGAACCCCAGCACTTTCCATTGCAAATGCTTCCCAAACCTGTCATCCTGAATCATTGTTTGAGGGTTCCGGGGCCCAGCAAGAGCTCCCACGAGCAGAAAACTGGCAAACAAGTCCGTCATTATTTTTGTAACGACGAGAGGACGTCAAGTCTGCGACCTTTTGGGAACCTTGCCCGTACGGATCCTTTCGACGCTGAGGTCACGCCCACCGGGTTTCACCTGGCTGCGGACATCTCTCGAATTCCGGACCCCGGCCGCCGTTTCAAGAATCAGACTTGCATGGGGGAAGGTTCGCATCGGACGACGCGAAGATCGGGACAAAATCGGATCGGGATACTTCGAAATCTCTGAGAATCGGCGGGTTTGGAGGATGTATTGGGCGCCGCGGCCGCTCCAGAGCGTTCCGGATCGCTCTGAGAGCGCTCCGGAACGCTCTGGAGCGATTTATCCCGATCCTAGCTTTGTTTTATCGTATGAACGGCGTGAAGAAACGGAGTCGACTGCGCCGACACTCGTGTGCAAGCTGCCCGCGTAAGGTCGCGCGCAGGCGCCCTCGCTTCCAATGCGGCGTGCCACGCTGACGGCCCGCGTCAGCCGTGGCGCAAAGTCGCTGCGTCACAGTGGGTACTCCAGATTTCGTAATAAAAGGGACGGGGGTCTCAACCCTCCCAGACGAGAAGTTTTAGACCCCCCCCCCTGGGAGAACCCTCCAAAACATCGTCCCCAGACCCCCCCAGGCCCTCCAAGATAGCCTGGAAGAGACCCCCCCCGAAATGAGACCCCCTCCCTTTTATTACAAAATCTGGAGTAAGGCCCGTTTCCGTCGCCACTTTGTATCAAGGCATTCTGGCCCGAGCCGATTCCAGACAATTTAAACCGAAGTGCCGAAGCAGTACAGTTTCCCGTGTCGGCATGGGTTCTCCGCGCGGTGCGGACGACCACCCGCCACGCCACTGCTTCGGCCGCTTCCCCGCCCAGGACCGACATCGGGACCCGTCCTCGGACGACCGGCTCTTCGGCGGCCCCGAGAACCTCGCCGCACACCCGAGGCGCGCCCCGCTGGAGCAGGCGAGGCGCGCCGCGCTGGATGAGGCTGCGGCGGCGCCGACGCAGGGCGTGCGGCGGCCGCCAGGGCTGCGCAGGGCGGCCGCGACCACCCGCGGTGCCGGGGCTGGCACGCCCGCGGCCGGCACCGGCGAGGCCAGCACGTCTTCTCCCCGCTTATCCAGCAGCGGCACCGAAGCTGGCACGTCCGCGACAGCTGAGCTCCAATGAGACCGCGGGTCACATACGCGCCGCCAGGTTTGGCACTCGCGCTCTTCCCAATTGACCTGCCGCTCCGTGCGTGCCAGTTCTTTCTGGTCACGCACGGCGAATGCCACCGCTTCTCCACAACATTGTTTTTTAAGCAGGGCTATACTAGAATCGGTAGGCTCTGCCCGCGCATAGCAGGACAAACTGTAATTCGAACGCTCTTCGACGTTACTCGCCTTTTTGGTGGTTATGCTTCAGCAGATTTTCTAATTTAATCGAACCGCTTTCTTCTGGCATAGCCTCGAGGCGGGTCTGTCCCTCTACAGGGAGGAATGTTCAAACATATTCAAATAATATGGGGACGATGTGTTGACCATGTTTGACTATTTGGGGGAATTGTTTAATTTTCAAACTGTTCGTCCAAAATCCCCCCGCAGGGGGACGCGCCCGACCTAACCATACAGTCGGGGCCCTGAAGAAGGAACCCTTTTCGTTGGGGAGGGGCTCCGCGTTCCTTCAGGGTTTCGCTGCTTGCCTCAGGTGTTCCTTATGTTTTCGATCGGAAATCGAAGTTTAACTTATGGAAAAAAGAGGCCTCGTTCCTTACTTTGGGTTCCTTAGGTCGAGGCCCCGACTGTACCCACAGGCGCCTTTGCACCTGCTGATGCGCTCTTGGTTGCGCGCCCGATGGAGCACATAATCAAATGTTCGATCTCTTGGCGGAGCGGCAACAGAAAATATCCCGGCGAAAGACCCAGCCATGCGCAGTTGTGAATGCCGCGTTGTGGGTACTGCTTTCGGTGGGGCTCCTGGAAGAGGCGGATGGAACGAGGGGGAAGGGGGGAGGGAAGAGGGAGGAGGGGGAGGAGGAGGAAAGGAGAAGAGGAGGAGATGCAGGGCGCTGTCTCTTCGAAGCGAGACCCAGCACCACAGGACGGTTGGGAACAGTGTAGTGTGCAAGACCCGTACCTTCTCGTCGTTGACATGTGATTCTCTACCAGGACATCACCACCCACCAAACCACCCCAACCCAACCCGAAGGCTCAGATTTACCCTCGATTTCTAGTGGGGGGGGGTCGAGAAACATAGAAAAAACACGCGTGGAACCCTTACCCCCCCCCAACCCGAAATTCGGATCTTCGGGTTGGGTTGGGGTGGTCTGGTAGGTAGTCAGGACAGGCCAGCCTCTCGGCCCAGACTTCCTCGGGTCCAAACAGATATTCCAAGTGTGTCTAGCGCAGGTGGGTCGGCGGCGCGAGAATCAACCGTTCTTTATGTGTACACCTTGGGCGATGCTTAAGAAAACCCAAGTTTTCGGCCAGAGTCTCGATTATTCTTAATGTTTCCATGTACATCCTAAGATTTCGATGGAAATTCTGGGCTTCTACTCAAGTTCTGAGACTATGAATTTCTTAACCCATGATTTCTTAAGCATTTCGCAGGGTGTATATCGGAGGTTGGGGGGTGAGATCGCAGTGGAACGGAGACCCCCGACCGGGAAATCGTTTCGCTTCGTTCGTGTCGTGCGCGCGGGCGAGGCGAAGCTGCGTGGGCTCGCGGGAGGACAGCCCGCCGTTGCTAGGGCGAAGTGAAGACAAATGAGTATCCCCCGTCCGTCCGTCTGGCGGTGGCTCGCGGTGTACCGAGGTGTCCCCTGGTGTCCCGTGGTGTCCCGTTGAGTGAGATCGATACTGAGATCGATATGGTGCCCCGAGGTGCCCCGTGGTGTCCCAACAAGGCAGATCGATAGTGAAGTCGATAGTAATATCGACAGGTGTTCCGTGGTGTCCCGTGGTGTCCCGTTGAGTGAGATCGATATTGAGATCGATATGGTGCCCCGAGGTGCCCCGTGGTGTCCCAACAAGGCAGATCGATAGTGAAATCGATAGTAATATCGACAGGTGTTCCATGGTGTCCCGTGGTGTCCCGTTGAGTGAGATCGATAGTGAGATCGATATTGAGATCGATACTGAGATTGATGTGGTGCCCCGAGGTGTCCCGTGGTGTCCCAAAAAGTGAGATCGATAGTGAGATCGGCAGGTGTCCCGTGGTGTCCCGTGGTGTCCCGTTGGGTGAGATTGACAGTGAGATCAAAATTGAGATCGATAATGAGATCGATGTGGTGTCCCGAGGTGTCCTGTGGTGTCCCGTGGTGTCCTATGGTGTCCCGTGGAGTGAGATCGATAGTGAGACCGATAGTGAGATCGAAAGGTGTCCCGCGGTGTCCCGTGGTGGCCCGTGGTTTCCCGTGGTGTCCCGTTGGGTGAGATCGATAGTGAGATCGATATTGAGATCGATGTGGTGCCCCGCGGTGTCCCGTGGTGTCCCCTGTTGTCCCGTTGAGTGAAATCGATTGAGAGAGATGTTGGTTTCCCCCTTCTCCCACTCTAAAGGGAGCTGGGGCAAGAGGGAAAAATAACGAGCGTTTGTGCGCGGCCGTTTGTACTCAAGCGGCCGGCCGCCAAGATATGATTGTGCTTTTTCTCGAGGCACAACTTCTTGCCGTCGAGACCGAAAACATCATCGCTTGACATGGCCCGTCGATCCCGCGACGATCTCCTACTTTTGGGACTATCGTTCCTACGGTACAACAGAGTTTCATATGGGCTTCGCCTTGGGCGAAGCTGCTGGCTGGGCCTCCCAAGCCCCTTTCAAGCTTGGTAGCGGAGCTGGCCTATGGTGGTCAGCTCTTGCTCTATCCCTCATTATCCACGGAACTATTTGGTGGACAACTGACATGGTGGAACATCAGGGTGCAGTGGGTTTGCGCGGAGGAATGTTCATAACTACGCGGAACGGCAAGGACAGTTGCAGCGCTACCTCCGCTCACGCGGAGGCCTCTTACAAGAGTCCTATTTCCCTGCGTTACTACACTCCTGAAGTCCACCCTTCTACTCCAAGTGGAAAATTTTGTTGAACACGCAATGCATGGCAACATGCGATACGACATTGCGCCGCCTCCACCTCCACGCAGACTTACGACAAGACACCACAACCCCCAGCCACGAATGTCCGACCACGACCTACGGGGCCACCGGATTGGTATTGCTATATTTGGCTTTGTGTGGGTCGCCATCGGTTGCGCTGTGGGGCGCATGCAGCGTGGTGGAGACGACGCAAGAACAACCGGCCCCCAAATACTTGTCCGCGAATTCGTTCGAGAGGTACACGCCTGGATCAACGTGACCACAGGCAGCATGACCCCCTCCCAACAGGCGGCGGCACTGCAGCGCGGTCTGGGAGGCCTCGCACGGACCATAGCCGTGAGAGTACCCCCCATCAGTCATCAACCTTGGCGTTAATATTGGCGGCTGCCACACTGATGGCGTCATCTATCTCATGTTCCTCCTCAGTACGAAGTTTGAGAACTTAAAGGAGGAATGCCAACTCAATCCGGGAACGGCTCTCATTGATTGTTGCGTCCATGCGGGAGAGCGGATCGACCAGACATTCGCACGCTTCGAGATAGCCCGCTACGAGGCCGAGACCGCAGGCTTTATCATCCCCTACATCCACATCCGAACAGCCATCTTGTTCAGGGCTTTAGGAGTGGGAACGTCGCGTGCACAACAACTCCTACAGCCACTCAACCACCAAATGCCGTGGAACCAACAACAAATTCATTCTCCAGTGGAACGCATGAGGTCATATGCCCACATCGCCGAGCGAACCCCTGGCAATATAGGCGGCATCGTTAGCCGCGGCCACCGCGCCGAAACCTTTCATGCTGAGACTCATGCAGGGCAACCTGCTACAAACGTTTGGAATGATGACCCACGACCGACAGAGACCACCACCTTTTTCGCCTAGAATGGTGGCCCGCCTACGGGGTCGCAAGACTCCCGGGCTTGATATCAGGGGCCGTCGGCAACGGCGGCCCCTGCGCGAGCCAAGGCTCCGCGGGGCAACCCGCAGAGTTTGACTTTGACTCTGGAACCGACACCGACGCGTCATCAGATGACGAAACGGCTGCCCTAGACGAATTCCGACATGCCGGCGTATCTTATATAAGAATTACTGGCGCCATGGTACTAGAAACATCTATAGAGGGCGCAAGGTACGACGATGTTTTTTTTATGAAGAAACAAGTTCGCAAGGTACGACGCGCTATCCGACGGCACTCAGAGTGATGGGCAAGGGCCGAGGCAAGGGCAAGGGCAAACGACGGCGACTATGGCGGGGGCACCCGCGGATTCCGAAGCCACTATTCCAGCGACAGAGGAGGAGGTGTCATTGATGCTCCATCCGCAGGCCACTGGCAATCCGATAGACGACCCTCTGCGGGGAAACCCGCGGAACGCCGGTGATCTTTCCGAACGCAACCAATGCGAATTTGGGCGCAACGGGGACCATCACCTCACGTTCGCGGTAACATGACAGGTCCACGAGCCGCCGAACATGGAAACGGGTGATTCGCACAGATGACGACAAAGACGAATGGGAAGTTGAGGGCCATCGCCCACAGCGTCACAGTCGGAGTTTTTCACGCGGGCACTTTCGCGCCAGCGGCGCGCGGCGCCCTCGCCCCCCTGAAACAAGGGCCCCAAGGGCTCCACCGAGAAGGGGGCGCTCGCGGGAAAACCCGCTTCAGATTGAGGATCGCCCAGCTGGGCCTGTAGCACGAGGCGCGCGGCGCTTTGCTCGCCATGAAGATCATGGGCGGTTCGCCAGCACATGCCCCGAAACACCGCGCAGCATTGGCGCTATCAAGACTGGGCTGAGCATGACATCCGTCACTGGCACTCACATCGCAATGTTACTCGGGGTGGCGATGGCAGGATTGTTCGCACTATCGGGGGCAGGGGCACCAGAGCGGCCCCTAATCTTGAGTGAAGGGACCTCAGGAGGGCCATAGGACCGAGAAACCTACCGGCTGGCTGTCTGCCCTCGCGAACATTTTGCTGGCCACAGACCCGCGCGCCCGATGGGGCGCCCATGAAGGAGCCCTACCTTCGAGAAAACAGCGGGCCTGGTCTCATGGAGACGGTCTGGGTCGCGGGGTGGATCCGACCAGGCACCCA